AAGACCAATGATAAGTGAAAAAGTAAAATTCCGCGACGTATTTATAAAAGAAATGTTACGTAATATATAATTACTTTCATAGTGTTACCAAATAGGAAATATGCGATACTAAAACTTGTTATTTGAGTTATTCTCAATCTTCTTTATCTCTATAGATTAAAAATTATTATTTATCCATTCAATTATTCAAGAATTATGAGGGTCAACAATGTTAACTAAAAATTTTAACACATAATTTGTGTAAGATCTGTTAGGCGAGCCTCGAGCGTTGAGCGTTGGGCGTGCTTAGGGCGTACAGTCGGGAGCTTAGGGCATAAGTCTTATAGAACTAATCCCCACACTTGAGTCTCGGGGCGTTTTTCTAGAGCCCCGCCCCAGGCAGAGGCGGAGCTACGACATGGTGAGGGTGGTCAGATGAACAACCTTCGTCGGAAAATTTTTAAGGGTATATCTGGTGATTTCACGTATCAGGACACTTCATCCAATACTAAGTGTCAACGATCGTTAGTCAGTAATATAACTCAACTAAATGAGTTGGGGTCGAATCCCATAGGGAGTGGTACGTGTTTAAGAATCAAGAGCAAAGTACGAATATGTTCAAGTCAATCATAGGAATAGATATTTACCAATAAAAGCATAATTCAAATTAAAGGCTGTCACAAATGTCAAATAACAAGGGGGGAGGGAGGGGTTTGATTGTAATTATCAACTACAATAGCAGCAAATAACACGAATTAACAAGCAATGAGACGGGTTCTTGGGATGTGATTGGATTATAGGCTAAGGTAGACAAATGGGTAATTGCAACTAATAGTAAATAGCTGTAAATCAGTGAATAAACTAGACTTTAGTGGAGATAAACTTTCTCTCGAACAATTTACCCCGAATCAAGTTGGTTTCTCTCGAACACCAACAAACAACAATTAAGAACAACCTACGCTTTAGTCCATTCATTCTCTCGAGCTGAATGTGTGGAAATGGGTTTAGGGTTCACTCTCTTGAGCTGAACCCATGACAACCCAATACCCACAGACCATCAATTCAGTAATCTTGGTTTTAAAACCTCTCTCTCGAGCAAGCCAAAAACACGAAGGTAGAGTTGCATTTGCAACTACAACCCTTTAAATTAAACCACAATTACTGATTGAAATCACTTTTAAACAACGTTTAAACTATCAATTAGAAATACCCATAAGCTAAATCAACCCATAATCACATAACCACACCCAAGAATTGGAGTTTTAACTAGACATCATAAAGAGATAAAAATCGTTACCCAATGGTGTTTTCATCAACTGGGTAAGACTAATTTCGTCTTTACAAAGGTCTAAATTGAAAAATCTCAAAGACCCACTTCCAATTTCTCAAAAATGGAAAATTTCAATTCTTCAAAGCTAAGGAAAATATTGTCTCAAGATTCTCAGTTCAAACTCAAAAATTCTATATTATGAAAACTGATTAACAAAAGATACTAAACATAATGTTTGAAAATGTATTTATAGTCGCCAAAAATATGCTGCGATGGATCATTCGGTGCAGTAAGTCGGGATTGCCGATCAACTCGGTGATTCGCCCTTTCGTCAGTTCCATCGCCTTATTGCTTTGACCTCAGCATTCTCAAGTTCTGTAACTTTGGGCGATCCAACACTGCATCGCGGAACCATTCGGCGACACGCCGACTGTTCCTTTCTATCGCCAACTTGATTTTCTCCTTCAGGGCTTGGCACACTGGAACTTTAGGCGAGATAATAGCCATTCAGCGACTCGTTCAATGGATTAGGCGATAAGTAGACCTTCTTTTCTTCGTTCTTTCAGTTGCCTTATTCCTTTTTGCGCATTAGTGTCCATGCTTCGTTCCTCAATCCATATACCTGAAAATCAAGGATTTTACATCAGTTATTAGCACAAAACAAGCATTTGAGGAAACTAATTCTATCCAAATCAAGCCCTACATGAGTCCAAATCGTGGACTCATCAACACCCCAACTTAAACTTTTTGATTGTCCTCAAGTAAAACTGAAGTTCAGCAGTTCAAAAAGGATGTCTCAAATAGTGCTACACAAGACTCAATCATGAATGCACACAAAAAGACTTAACTTACTCATGCAAAGATCAATTGTGCACTCAAAGATTCAAGTTGTGACTCACAATTATCAAAGATTCTCAAGTTCACAATACTTGCTTCAAATGAAAGTTCAAGCTCAACAAAGGTACTCAAATGTCCTCACACAAAGAATGATTCCATATTCACATACAATTGTACAACAATTTATAGTTCCGGAATCAAATACAACACTCACACTCACAAAGATGAACACAGCAAGACTTCACCCATAGGTTTGCCCTTATTTTCCAATCAACAATTGCTTCAGCTCACTCAAGATTACAAAGGTCTTTTCAAGGCTTGTAATGGGATTGAGTGTAAAGGTATGATCATTTAGGCTCAATAGTTGTAATCCTCATGAAATGTGGTATGACAACACTTTTCTTCCCTTTTCTTCATCATTCTCATTCATGCTCAAAAGTCACCCTATTATTCACTTTCCATGGACTGTTGGACACCCCATTTTCTTTGCGCTTTCACAACTTTATTCCACAACTTTTTCATTCTTTTTCTTTTTCAGTCTTTTTTTTTGTATGGAGGGGTTCCATCTTTTTCACAACCATGGATCAAGGGGGACATCTTTGCATTTCTTGATTTACCTTTTCTTTTCACCACATCCCCAACTTAGGTTTTTAGCCTAAGTTGGCTATTCAAACTAACCACAAATCATGAGGATAATGTGTAATGGATAAAGAAAGGTCACAATTTGCATCAAGTTTCTTTCAAGAAGAAGGGTAAGGGTCAAAGGGTGTTCAAGCAAGGATCACACACTCACAAGGTTGGCCACAAAAGAGGTATAATGTCGAATTATTTCACACTCTTCAAAATTGCCTAAGATCATTTCAAGAGATTGCATCACTTAGTCAACCGGACCAACGGGACAAATTCTAGGTGTCATCACACATGGTTCATGGTAAGCTCATCACACAAGGCATTGACACTAATGTCAAACAAGACTCCATACTTTTGGTAGTGTGCAATGTTCATCACAAGAGACTCAATTTGATAATTGGCTAGTCATAACGAGATGCAAAAAGTTCACATATTGCCTATGCAACTTCATTTGGCCTCATAGTAGCTGCACATTCATTTATGTTTGATTATAAGCACTATCCAAGTCATCGGTATTGATCAATATCGATACTCATATTTGCAAGAGAACAACCACATTTAAACAAAATCAAGAGGTGGCACAAAATTCAAAGTTTTTCGAAAGGGCCCAAAAATCATTTACATTTAAAATAAGGAGCCACAAGCTCAATAATCCACAAAAATAGTGCTAAACACAATTTATAACTCAAAACCTCAATATATAACCAAAATAATAATCACAAAAGGTGGGCCTCACCCCACCACAAAACAAAAGCTATTTGTCCTCAAATGCAGGCAATAAAATATCCAAAAGTCAATAAAAATAAGACAGAGAGAAAGAGGTAAAGAGGGATCCTGTCTAAACAGTTTGTCGAGGCATCAGTGCCTGGTGCATCACTCTGAACCTGGATCTCAGTACCCGGAGTCACAATCACAGTATCACCAGCTCCACTAGGGCCAACCAAGGGTGTATCTGTCAAAGAAGCCTGCACAACTGCATTTACCATGGTCTCCTCAGTCTCCGTAAGGCCCTCATAAGAAGCCTCCTCAACGACCTCAAGCATCTCCTCATCCGTCTCAGCCTCGGACTCAGGATCAGCTACCTCCCCAACTCTAACATCATATCTGGTGGTAGCTGGAGGCATATCGTCCTGAAAATCAAGGACTTGTCGGTGGACTTTAGCTAGTCCACATCTCTCCTCAGTGCAACAATAGCAGCCTTTAGAACCGTCACCTCCTCGGTGGCCCCTTGGACACACTCACACACCGTTATCCTAGTTGCGAGGGCATCTAGCGCTCAAGGGTGTCACAACATTGATAAGTCCACAAATTAGACTCATTTACGGCTATATTTGAATAGAAATTATGTCCTCAAATGCTTATT